ACCGTCATTAAGAAGAACGGATGTCTATCGGGTCTTTATCACTTGTGCACATTCATTAGCTATAGAGAGTTAACTAAACCAATAAAAAGTTATATGGTGTTTTGATAACATCACATTTGATCATTTGGGGGTGTGGGGGGGGGGGATGGGCAGGCCAGAATGGAGCCTTCCGCGAGTCAATACTAACGAAGGTTGGCTTCATGATGCGTTTGTCTGAAATTGCACGATCTACATGTATTAAAATAACTAACGATGACTTATTCGTCTGCTCTTTGGCGCCAACATTAGCGGGAATCACTTCGAAAACTGAACGAGGCTTAACGACGAAATAAAGCCACCTCCAAATTTACAAACTGTATTACATCAAAACTACAAAATGTTACCCATTAACTAACATTTGACAGATAATGTACAAAAGAATATTTCTTTTTCGATTATGTGTTACCGCGGGGGAAAAGCAAAGGAAAATCAAAGTGGAAAAAGTAAACCACTTAGCTAGCCCTCGCAATAAATTAAAATTTGATATGTGAAATTGACTTCACGAAGCACTTTGAAGAGGTTTTTGATTAAAATGCACTTAGAACACAGAGCGTCTGCAGGAACAAATTTGACTTTTGAATACATTTCTGTCACGGCCTTCGTGATATTTCCATTTAAAATGCAAGTACCAGCATTAGTTTAAAAGACATATATGATCATTTGCATTTATCCCACAAAGTAACCTATTAAATTATAATCTAAAAGCTTTCCTTGGATTAAAGATCGTACTGGTATTAAATACCACGTGAAATTATTCCGTCTGGCTTGCTGTCATTTAGCACAAATCAAGAATTGAGCGATTTTTGGAAATAGAGTGCTATCGGGTTTCGTGATCAAAGCTTGTGCGTGTTATTCATTCTTTTATCGAAAAGTGTAATATCCACTGAGATGAATCTTCAAAGGGTAATATTTTGAACATTCTTCTTTGGATTGTGAGTGGTGCTATTATTGGAAACGAACAAGATGCATGAAACTCCTTTGATCCTACACGCCTTAAAACCGGGCCATGATATTCAGGAAGGATGAAGGAGTGCGCATTATATATGAAGTCGGAGGCAGGTGGGATGCTCTTTCGTGTAATCCTCATCATAACTTGTATGCGCAAAACCTGATGTTTTGGCATTGAAGGTCCGCCATTTCTCCGAAATAATTATGAACTCTAACTTCCATAACAGAATGAATATTACTGAGTTTTTATTTTCGCTATAATTAAACTATTCTCTTTAAAATATCCCCCTTGACCATAATGGGCCTATTCCCGTTTAATGGCGTCATAACGAACTTCTGCAAGCCTTTGTTAATATAATTACGTTATGGCATTTATTTTAACGAGCCTCTAGTGCGTGTCTTTGGTATAGTAATGACATACCTGCAGATTGTGAATACACGATCATAAAAAAAATGCATTGTGTACTCAAGGCCAACGTCGCGTTGCCGGTAAATCGTGGCCACAATTCGGCAACGCATGACAAGATTGATAAAATACACCCGTTTAAACCTGCATTCGCCAGTCACGTGAAATGTGCTTATTTGAACTTTTTTTATTGATATGATTTCTATTATTTAAAACAATAGAGTGCATTTTAATAAAGTGTTCAACAAATGTAACCTTTTATTATTTGTGAATTATAGGTTTAAACAGATAATATTCTGAATTTTGATTGTATTTCTTTCATGAAATACAATGTAAGCTTACAGAGAATAATTGATTGGTACACCATGTCAAATACACAATGTATAATATGTACTGCATAGCCGCGTTGCCGCATTTAAAGGGATATTACGGCCTGAAATCCCTGAAAATTTTATGTTTTGGGTTGTTTACTTATCCTCTTTTAAAGGTCTGGTTGCAAGGTAACTAACCTCATGACTTACTGTTCCCTAGTAAAGACGAAAAAACACGGTTGTTTACATCGTACACGTCGGTCATCTTGTGGCATACGCATACGTATTTCAAGCCGTGTTAGTTCCATGTACGGTACACGTTGTGCGTGTGACACACAGTACACACAGCACCAATACGCAAATGTTGTTTATCGCACGTCCGCAGAATGCGATGCACTAGTGGAACACGTGCGGCACCCAACATCTCGTTTTTTGTGAGTCAAACTTTTGAGTCAAAAAAAGTTGACTAAGAGTTGGCGTAGGCTATAATTAAACTTTGTATAAAAATAACTACGCACATAATCAGAAATCTTTTCAAATCTGTTTATACAGCGGTTTTCTTACTCGAAACTGTTACTCCAAGCCGACACTCGTCTTTAACGGCAATGATTTCCATACGATATACTAATTAACGACGACCCTCAGACCGATCTTCAGCTAAGACGAGTTCAGCCGCGTTGCTAAGTAAGTAAAGGGCCTGTCACATTATATGCGCTCTCATAGGAGACCTTACGGCGACCAATTTCTTTTCATAAATTTAACAATCGCAGCGAGGGCGCAAGAAAATGACAATGTTCTGCCTCAAAGAAGCTCAAGCTACGCTCATACTGTGCTCTTCTCGCGCTTACGATGCGCTCAACTCGCTCTCTATGCGCCTCTGTCAAGCTCAATTACTCGATCTAGTCGCTGCCGCTGCGCTGTCACCGCGCCTGCACTACGCTCTGCTCGCTGTTGATACGTCCTAGTTGCTTGCGTCGCGCTCTCTGTTCGACCAAAATACGCTCATGTGACGTCACTTGCGCTGTATAAATACCACGACAAAACGGTCATTACACAGTCCAGTTTCAAAAATTATTCAACAAGTTCATCTCAGTCGAGTTACTTTCTCATGGGGGGGGGGGGGGAGACTACATCGACTGCCTTGCGCCTAAGCTGCCTCAATGCCACTTCAATGTCGCACGATTCACGCTCGCACAGCGCCCGAGTTGCGTCATTAGGGCGCCCTGGCCAGAGCGCAGAGGTGTTGCGATTGTTTTGAGCATGTTCAAAGACCTTGGCGCTCATCGAAGACCATTAAGACCCTCTGGCGCCCATCTGGCGACCTATGTAGTTGTCGCTGCGATGTAGTAGTTGTTGTTGCGCCCCAGCTATTTTTCAAGGACGCATTGAGAGCGCATATAAGATCGCAGACAGTGTGACAGGGCCTTTAGGACGTGTTGAACGCGTCTTAGGTTTGGTGAAATCGATCCTAGAGTCGCGAGTTAAGACGAGATATCCTTCCTAAGATGCGTCTTAGCGTTTCGTGAAATCGGCCCCAGCGATGTGTCCCTCCCAACGGAGCTTTTGGAACAGCTACAAACGCGCCATCAACTGTCAGTACACGGATTCCATAAGGAAGTGCGAGTGAACCCTAATACGTGCCTCCATGCACTATCTTGCGAATCAGCGAGTATCAAGCTCAAGTGCAGACCAGCGTACTTCCTTTTGTCACTGGTCATTCATTATCACACAATCTGCCTGATAGATAACAGCTTTCAAGTACCTGAACACTTACCCAGATGGAGAGAGGATTTTTAATTCTTAGTTTCCCTAGGGGTTGTGAGTCCGCGAGCCAAGCTGGACATTGACACTAGACTCATTCAGAGAGCTACTTAGCCGGTTAAGAACGAGCCAAGTGGACGGACCATGATCTACAGACCTACAGCCATAAGCTATAATCATGATAAATGAAAGGTTAGGGTATCGTCCATTCTCTTCTCTAGAAGCTACGATGTAGCGGATAGCGATGGATGAGTTGACTAACGATAATGTACTTCAGAAACCACAATGTTGTCCTGCGTCTTGAAAACACTCAAATACCTCAGCCCTAGAATGGGTAAATAATTTGCTCATGTTGTGTGAAATTAGCTCAAATCTATCATGTAATTCGGCCGAACCGAAGATTGAAATCGGGGACCAGACTATTTGGTGGAAACTCTACTTATTCGATTGAATGAATTTCATTCTAAGTCGTCATGTCCTATAGTATTAGCCGGAGTAAGTAAATGTTCACTATTTGGGGAGGGGGGGGGGGGAGAGAGTATGTACATGTATAATTTGTGTTCTAGGTATACACGGATCGTTAATGTAGAAATTCGTCCGCTCCTGGTTGTCATTTTTGGTGTTAAAAATTATTTGTGTATGACAAACAGTGCTGCAAAAGTATATAAACTAACTCTTAAATTATACTTCAGTGCGAATGTTGTTTTAATTATTATGTCACCACTGCGACTAATGCAGCTGCATAAACCAATAGGACTGGAGGGATGAAGATAACTATTTCAAAATCAAACAAATTCTAGTTCGCATTTTCACGCTATTGAAAATGTTTTCAAAGCAACATGGAAAAACGAATAAACGAAACGCAAACGCACGCATGAAAAAGACAAACATACTGAACAAACAATAATAATACTATGACGATGCAGGTTTAATCAAACCTGTGCTTAAAAAAGGTAAAAAGAATATTTGCTTTTTGTCCTTTTTATCGTTTCAAGCACCACAATTGCTCAAAATCTTAAGTAAGTGCATAACAACAACCGTGTCAGCTAAGTTGGTACTATACATGTATACTTTGGAGATAAAATAAGAGACGTCTGCACAATTATTTTTGGGGTCTTGTAAAACTGGATGCCGTTGCTAACGAACGTAAAAAAGACGGGAACAGTTTCTTAAATCACCATCAATGATTAGTTTCTTCCGAATGATACCTTTCCAGGTGGAATAATGTCACAGGGTATTTGGTACCATCCCTATATCTTCACTTTGAGCGGGGAGTTTCTCGTATATAATCGGTAGGTACGTTTCAGGGTAATTGTTCTTACGTGCCTTAAAACCACCAAAATCATTCGAAAACCAATTTTTCCTTCTTTTTTGTCTGGGTTTGAACCTCATACGCACTATATACCCATACTTTGTTTTTCCACCTTTCTTTAATAGAGAAACACGTACGGCTGAACAGTACTGTCTCTTATATAGGGGAACTAATCAGCGCGCATTTATCAGTCCATATGCTGAAGTAAAGAAGTCGGTCTTACCGAGGGGGTTGTCCGGGCTGTCGGTTGGATCGTGGTAAACCTTGACGAGAAATATCAGCAGGATCACGAACATGACGGAAGTGTTGAAGTAGGACACGTAGAACGTGGCGCCCAGCCCGCCGATGAACGTGTAGGCTCCGATGACAGCCGCTAATGTCATCGCGGCCAGCTCCAGACTCAGGCCGTCCACAAGGGCCGTTAACACGGCGCAACCGCCTTGAAACGAGACCACCAGAGACGAATAGAGAGGAAAAAAATATGGACGAACGTAAACAAAGTAGCATTAAAGCATTGTTAAGCCATTGAAATGCATTGGGATTTAATTCCCCCCCCCTACTTTAATCCTCACAAGCAAGTACTGATGACATGGGTTTCAATGCGATTTTCAATTTGAAAGTCATAGGCAATGTAGAAAAGTCAATACCAATTTGTATCTGTCCGTCAAGGGGACAAAAGCTTGCTCCTTCCTATAATTCTGACGCTGTTCAAATTTCATTTTAATCACTGGTCTGAATAATGTTCTTCGATTCTATGTTCCAATTATGTGCTCATTGATATGATATCAAATATACAAATTTTAAAGAAATTTATCAACCGACAATTCGCTGGACAATATTCTTATTAGCGTACATGTTGTACTGTCTCTTTCAAATGGAAGGTTTTCACTATTCACATGAAGAAATGTTTCGTATTCATGGGATCCGGAGATGTGAATACAATAGGTGGGTTTTGCCCTTCATCGACGGAAATTATAGACACAGTATTATCATTCTTTTCCCAAGGCTTGCAAGTCAAAGACTTTTTTCCTCTCAAATCCTTGTACACTATATCTATAAATTTACGTTGTTGAAGGGAAACGAACCATATTGAATTGAAAGTTTGTTGGGTGGAACCACTTTGAATATTACTCGGTATACATAACCAATGATATCGTTTGTACTCATTCACAAAACTAAAAATTGCCTTCATCACATGCAATTGTATGGATCAGACAGAGGAAGAACTTTTTCCAACAACAATGCCAAGAGATCGAAATGAACCTTATTTCCCATGATACCGTTATGCAAATTCATGTATCCTTTAAAATGACAACAGCCCAGTACGAAAAATATTAGTCAGCGAGCCAACTGCCTTTAATAGGATCATTTGCTTTCATACATTTTGTCCGTTTCCAATGATAACACCGCTCAAAAGCCCAAGAATAATGTTCAAATCCTGAGTTTCAGCTCAGTGGATATGACACTTTTTGAGAAATCAGTGAAAAACCATACATAATCACAACCTTTTGATCACGAAGATCGAATTCGGGCCTTTCGCAATGCAGTGCGCCACCAAGAGTTTGCCACGGAGAGTTCATTTTTCCCGGTGCATTGTGGGAAATGGTCGACAAATTCGCAGCGGGTAAGCATGATTCGAGTATCTGTTTGCCCTTTTCTTTGCCTTTTATCAATACGGAGTTTTTTTGTAAGGCGGCTGAACGCTATGCCCCAATCTATAACAAAAATTAGCTCGTTGTCTACTGACACTCGTTCAAATGGGCCATGTTTTGTCGACCGTAAACTTGAATAATGGACTCTCCACGGCAAACTCTTGGTGGCGCACTGCATTGTGAAACGCCCGAATTGGAAATCACCTACATTTCTTGATTTCTTCTAAAATGACAGCAAGCCAGACGGAATAATTCCACGGGGTGTTTAGTGCCAATTAATTAAGCTTTTGGATAATGGTTCGAAATGTTACTTTGGAATAAATGCAAATGATCCTAATATGCCTTTACTGAAACAAACACTGCAATCTTCCGATCATCGAAATCCTTATCCTCAATACAGACCGACCTTGTCCGTAAAAAAACCTGCCTGTTTCCTCACCTAGCATGAGCATTGCCGTCACGATAACATTGGTCAGTAGAGCAAAGAAGCAGTAGACCAGGTGAGTCCTTGGTCCGAATCTCGCCATGATGACCTGCAGAAAGGTCTTAGCTCCGGGGGCTCGTGTCTTCATCTGGGCCGACAGGGTAGCGAAAAGTAGGAGGGGGATGGTGGCACCTGAGGCGTACCAGAAGGGACCACTGATACCCGTCTGCGGAATAAGAGATTCAATTGTGAGGTTTCATGATATTCGTCTTAAGTCAACTTCGAAATGATGAGCCTTTATTTTAGTTGATCTCTCCTTAAGCCTTATGCATGCACAGTTACAAACCATTGGAACGAACCTAGTCAAGCCATTATTGACAAAATGGGATATTGCCGGTGTCATATGAAAATCCGACTCCTATGAAAATCCGACTCCTTTTCCCTGTTATTGGTTAATCCCTCGAGCGTGACAGGTCACTCTCAAATTATGATCCCAAAAATAGCATATTATCGTACTGACGCATGCGCAATACCACCAATGAGTCCATTTTTCATGGAGTCGGATATTCACGCTACACATGTAACATTCCATTATTTCGCGTTTCTAGCTATATACTCTCACCATACAGGCTTCACAATTTTGCATATTTGTTTTAAATATCAGTGGCTTCCTATGTATTTATTAACAAAACAAGGCTGCCATCGAGAAACAGCGCAGCAAGCATGCTACAATGCCCCAGATTCCAATTTCAAATGTAGTAGACCAACCAGTACGCGTTCGGATCGGATGGAGTTATAGTCAAATTGGTCGCACTCGAATATTTTGCTGTCAAAACAAAAGTCAGGGTTGTCTTTCAAATGGAATAAATCCGGCGGCTATATCTAAAAGGATATAGCGATACCCCGTATAGCCACAACGACCTTCGTATACACAGGGTGTTTAAAAAAAAAAAGGAAACCCATCTTTAAAGGATGTTTGGACAGACGATATGTTTATTTTACTGGCTATAAAACTGGTATCATCTCAAAGCGTAATCTCTATGCTTTTCAATGATACTATGTTTAGGTTTTCTGAGTCATGCCTCAGTGAGCATCATTGTCTTGAAAACTGGATGCAAAAATGCAGTTGGTTCACTTTCATAATAAAAACCCACTGGGCACGGTGAATTTTAATCCTCGGGAAAATGGCACATTGTTTTGAACGTGGCTTGGTCAAAACGAGAAATTCATGACAAACTTTAAATCCAGTTTTGAAACCAACCCGACTTGATTTTGGTTTCTTTTTATGCACTCGTGTCTTCTTCTTGAATACTTATTCTCATGCCCACCATGCCTATTGTGTTTGACATGAAAGTGAACCAACTGCAATTCTACAACAAAATCTTATGACAGTGGCGCTCACTGATGCATGACCATGGAAATGTAAACAAGGTATCATTGAAAAGCATAGAGATTACGCTTTCAGATGATAACAGTTTTATAGCCAGTAAACATTTAGTCTGTCCATACTGGTTCTTCAAAGTTGGGTTTCCTTTTCAAGTTATTGAAACACCCTGTATAACTATGAGCCACAGAAGCCAGAGCACTCAGCTTGAGCCTAAAATGGAGTCACTTGAGACAAACCTGGACGCCATTTATAAATAAATTAAGTAACACTTAATTAAATTTATGGATGAATGGTCCTTCAATTGAGTGCATCACAACCCAAGCTGCATATGGCACTTACATATTACAGGGAACAAAGCAGAAAGCGGGAATCCATTTAGTACGTGGTTACATAACCATGAAATGCAAATCATGAGTACAATGGAAAATTCACTGAAGCCTGTACAACCAAGACGCTCAGGGAGACATGTGAAGCGTCAGTAATAGTTGGGCCAGCAACAAGACAGCAGCCATTTTCTGCTTGGCAGATTCAAATTTTCACCTCCGTCGCCCCACTGTCCACTCACAAAAGCTATTATAATCAGCATCACCCGGGGGTTTGAGTTCTTAAGGTGTAAATTTACAATGAATTAGGTTGCAATGAGTATGCGAGGAAAAAGAAGATCAAAGGGAATGACAGATAAAGGTTAACTTAAATATTATGAATAAAGCTCACGACAATAATTACTTGAATTAAAACGTTTTGGTAGTTAAGAAGGCATAACGTCAACAGGTCTTTAACCGAATAAAATTGCCATCTGATATTTGCTAACTATCGAGATGAAAGTAAACAAAAGACACTTGATAATTAACAAAGGTCAATAATCTCATAAATCGGATTAAATTATGTATGTATTCTATGTATTAAAAAGCTAAAGCAAAAGATGTGATAACTTTAATTTATTAATACAGTAAAAGTTATATTACAAATTATGAAAGGACTCCTTAACCCCACAAGTCATGCTGTAATTCAAAATTACTTATTTGGTGAATAAATGACCAGTAAAGACATAAATGATTTTATTTGACAAGAGTCGATATCGATGAACTGTCAGAGGAGATACGTAGGTCTACATAATGGAATGTTTAACTTTTCGCACTCCCATTTTTTTTTTTTTTTTTGGTGTCTGCATTCGAATCCTCTTCTTATCTGCTGTAACGTACACTTCTTCATCTCGTCTTTAAAGATTTTCGAGCCACGGTCGAACGTTTGGTGACACGCAAATTGTATGCAAACCCGCGCGCCATCCAACGGACTTTAAACACTATGACGTCATTCGATCAGGAACGTGGACTTAGCTGTTGGTTGGTCAATTTGGATGTCATGTTTTTTGTAATACAACCGGTTGCCGCAGACCCGATATAGAGGGCGTCCGCTGAATGGTCAGAATCTCAAGGTCAAGACGCATAATTAATCGCCACCTGTGCTTGTATATCATTATACCCTCGCAGTGCCAGACTAGGGGCATGGCTCCGGACCACGCCCTCACTGAAACTTCCCCTTCATACATAAAAAATTCAAACCCCTCCCCCGTTTCCTGAAAGCTAGATCCGCCCTTGACTACCAATTTCAAAGCTTTTATACGATTTTTTTCTTATCTAATTCGTTTTAACTCAAGAACAATGGGTCTAAACCTTTATTCCCGTGGAAGCCATTTTCGATCGTGTTCCCTGAATCTATTTGATAAATTGTAAATTGTTGAATGGGATGGTACCAGGCTATTTTGATTGGAGTGCGTTCCAAGCCTCGCTTTCAATATTTTTTTTTTAAATGAGGCTTATAACATTAGGAAATGTTTTAATTATTCACCAAAATTTAAATTATTCACCAGAGCAGACTGGCATTAATTTGTACTGAAGTTTTATTTCATTGCTTTCATTTCTACTCGCAGGTAAAAAAGAAAAGAAAACTTCGCTGTCTTCGCGAATAAAGTCTATTCGCTCTTTTCACACTTCCGCCATGGGCATGCAGAGCCTCGATCTGGCAACTTTACACAATGAATATAGCCGGTTCAGTGATTCCCGTGTCGCGGTATAGATAACTGAACCGGCTATTTTTATTGTGTAAACTTTCCAGATCGAGGCTCTGCATGCCCAATGGCGGAGTGTGAAAAGAGCGAATTGGCCATTACAGACCACAAATTCGTATCCTTGTGGAGACTCACACACAATAGGGAACAAAACATTGTAAAGGTCTCCACAGGGCAATTTCTATAGATGAATAGGTCTCCACAAGGTTTTCACGAAATAGATATATGGGTTTTACTCAAAAACTAGGAATTTCCAAGGTGGGTTGATTTGTCGCAAATGGAAGAGTTTTAGAAAAGGGATATTAATTCCAAATTTCAGGCAAGGAAACTCATTCTGGTTTAAATAAGAGCATTTTGAAACTTCACTTTCAAAATTGAACACTTTACTACACGAGAACAAAGAAATGTCTCCACAAGGATACAAATTTGAGAAGGGCGGGCAGCTTACCGTTGTGGCTACCGCTGATGACTGGAGGAGGGTTGCCGCCCACGTCCACTGTGAGACTACGGTAGTGGCTGTCAGTCCCATGGACACCTGACCACCTGCATCGAAGTCCGTGTCCAGATTGGCCTTGTGGAACAGATAAAATGGTCACAGTATGTTTAATGGCATCATATAGGGTAATTTGCATTTATCCCTAAATTAACCTACCGAATTATTATCAAAAAAGCTTATTTGGATCAAAGATCGCACTGGTACTAAACACTCCCTGAAACTATTCCGTCCGGCTGGCTGTCATTTTATAGAAGATATTAAGAAATGTAGGTGATTTTCAACGATCAGTCAATTGACAAATCTTTGGAAGTATAGACATCGACGAAAATTGTGTTTCGTGATTAAAATAATGTGCATGGTTTTTCACTGTTTTTTCTAAAAGTGTAATATTCCCTGAGCTGAAACTTCAACCTGTTAGGTTTTGAACAAGATCCATATCTTGAGTGCTGTTATTATTGGAAACGAACTTGCATGAAAAACACATGATCATATATGCCTTTAAATAGTCATACCTGAACAGTACGGTTACACACCTATGTTCCGACAACCCGATGTTACGACTGCACATATTCCTATCCCTATCCCTAACCCTAACCCTAACCGGGAGCAACACAATGTTATGCGCGGATTGTCGGAACATGGGGGTGTCGGAACATAGAGCAGACATTAACGTTACACTGGAAATTAAACCTTGAAAGGAATTATATTTGTCAGGTGTCAATATGTCGTTGCCGATCCAGTTATGAGCCTTTTTTCTACAGTCTTTATCTTTTTACTGAATCACTTACATGTTCTAAACAAGGGATAGGATTTAAATCAACCTTTTACCTGAATGTGCATCCCGTTTCAAAATAAAAGAAACCAGTGGTTTCAAATCTCACCGAGTTGTTCATGAACTCTCACTTTACATTTAAAAGTATCAAAAAATACGCACTTTTGAAGAAAGGTAATAAGCCTTTTCGGAGTTCCAACTGCGCATTCATAACCTGTGACAACGCGCATTGTTTGTCTCAAATGGCCTTTGACAACATCGCGCCACTGACTTTACAAAAAGGCTGTTTGTGCATTGTGGGTACTGTCAAAGGGCATTTGAGACAAACAATGTGCGTTGTCACAGGTTACGAATGCGCGCAGTTGGAACTCCGAAAAGGCTTATTCATATTCACATAGAAGAGTTACTTCTGACGAAACGTTATTTGCGATCAATAGTATGGGATTTTGAGATTTTTCCGCAACCTTCGCGTCTCCGGAGGAAAAAAAAATCGTTGGCAACGAATCAGCTGATTGATCATGTTTCCCTGGAAACTCATTTTCAATGTAGGCGTACTTCAAGAACACGGCGTGCAGCTTTTCAAACATGTCAATGAATTGTTCGGTATTCTGATCCAGTGACGAGCAACCGCCAAGCTGTAAAGTAATGAAAATCCGAAATTTAGTATGACCTTCGATTCGGCTCTTGATTTTATTAGCACAAGAGCGCAAAACAACTGCATACTCTTAATACAATGAACTGCCGTAGGCCTTGGGCGTACACAATTGAGATGCATAAGTTTTGCAGACGGTGTCTGAACGTCGTGTATCTAATAATGCAAGCAGGAGTGCTAATCATGTGTGAAATGTGGTGCGTGTGACGTCAGCATTACGTCAATGTGGATACAGTCCTGCGTAAATACGTGATTCTTCATTAAGTAAGAGCTTTCTTGAATCAAAGCGTTACTTTTGATATGTGAGACCCACATTCAGATTTGGCCTTTCTCATTAATGGCAAAATAAAGTATTCAACGTCGTAGTGTGCCCTAGAATTTCGCCATTAAAACGTAGATCCATCGGGAAAATGGCATGCATTCCCGTCTTTGATGTATCACTGAACTTTTTTAGGACCCGATTTTCAAATTTTTCCCCTGTAATTTGAACCCCCAAAAAGAGGAGTTTCTTTAAATCTGGGTCTAACCAACGGAATTAAGCTGATCCACACTATAGTTCAGGCAGTGACGTCAGAAATTATTCACATCTTTTCATACATGACTGGAAAAGCATGTCGCGAAGTGAACTCGCAATGAAGAATCCAAAGGGGGGGGGGACAGCCCACCTTGGGCCAGGAAAAAAAATTACAGGGAAAAATTGCTGCTAAACCCTAATGACAACTAACCCACCCATCCCCCCAGCAAAACCAGGATCCGCCCTTTCCCGCTATAACAATTTCCCAGCTAGCTGCAGAATCCCCAAACTTGATTATTTATTTATTAGCCTAAAAAGCTCATTTAATCACATCCCACGTACACATCTACATTACAAGAAGGCGCTGTGGCACTTCAATCAATTGTACATGTTTCCTGTTCAACAAATTCACCAACCGCCATTCAAACCCGACTACGAATTCAGCTCCAAATGAAAGGATGATGTCAATTTATTACATTAGTTCCCCCACCAACCCACCCACCAATACCGGCACAAATTGTTCCTGGCAAGTTCTACGGACCAAGGTTTTGGTGTCAATTAGGCGAGAACCTCTCGAGCAATTTTACTGATTATGGTCGTGGGAGTATAATACCGTCGGCCTCACGCATGCAGTCTTCGGCAGGGCTGTTTAATATGTAATTAGTTTTCCAGGGTCAATTCCCAAAGCAGTTTCTTCGCACGGCCGATACAGGTTTGATGTATTCTAAGATTCTTGCCGCATTGGCTCTCGTTCTATTTTATAATTTTACAGGCAATGGGCACTGTGTTTTGCAATGGGCACTGTGTTTTGCCGATTCAAACTACGATAAATCTGGAGCAGGGTATTATTAAAAACAAATCTAACCCGTTGAAATTTCAGCTCAGAAGATGGATATACTTTTTGAGAAAACTGTGTATAATTATGGAGATCAATGGCCCCGCCCATGGGACGTCGTTGCTAGGTAAAATGGCGCCCTATTTGTTGATGCACTGAGCCTACACGACAGAATTATACACTCGGAACTTTGAAGACGATGTTTTCATGCTTATGAACACTCTTTTGTAATCATTCTCAGAAATGTGAAACTTGGATTTACATCATCTCTGGTATTTATCTAGCTTATACATCTGGGAATTAAATGTGAGTAGAATGGTGGAAACTAACTGTGTGGCATATAATAAATGCATCATCCAGAACCCAGATATCGTTTTGTTCAGTTATCTATCTTAAAACGTCGTCAATGTATGGTGATTTGTTTGTAATCATCCGGTGCTACAATGTTTGTTTACATATCAGTACTGTACACTAAGACAATCTTCATGGCTATACACCCATTCTCTCGCAATTTTGAACATTCAAAGAGCCAACACACGGAACAGGATCTAAGATTTCAGTAGGTCAAATTCTCAAAACACAGACACGCAGTGTTCCACGTCGAATCATGTATATCTTAGTGGGGCGCTGTGGTCCAATGGTTACGATATTCGTCTCGTGTGCCGTGGTACACGGGTTCGAATCCTGACCGTGGGAACATGGTGCTTGTGCTCTTGAGCAAGGCACTTTACCATTATTGCTTCGTCCTTCGGATGGGACGTAAAGCCGTAGGTCCCGTGTGTTGTGTAATGCACGTTAAAGAACCCAGTAACACTTGTCGCTAAAGGGGTTCGCCCCGGTGTTTCTGGCAGTGGCAGCAATTATGCGCCGCAGCACCTAGCAAAAAGGTGCTACATAATGGGTCTCATAATCTCCATTTACCTGGCTTTGGTTGCATTCTCCCCCAGCACTTTGTATCCTCTGGCAAAAAGCGCTATATAAATACAGTTATTATTATTATTATCTCGACGGCGCGTGCATCTTCCGTGGCGAACATATAGGCTACCTTTCCACTATAGAAGATCTCAAAGGTGTTCAAAGAGTCCACACGGGAGGAGTTTGTCGACAATTGCCGAATTCATTACCTTTGACAGTTCAATCAAAGCTGGCCGGGCGAACGCAAGAGAAAGACCAATATTGGGACTGGTGAAATTGCTCATCAAGATGGACGGTATAGGCCTATATCAAGAACTGCGCGTAAAGGTATCTTTGGTATAGAGAGAGAAGCTTAAATGTTCTCTGTGGATTTTTCTCTTTAGTCCCCACGGGGTGAAGATATCTAACGAATCAGCCGTGGGCATGTCAGTGACTTCTCTTTTTTAATAAAAGCCTTCTGTCATGCTACTTGGGTGATGAGGAAATCGTATCTCAAATGCAGGCACCGAAAATGATTCAGCAACAGACCTGTGAAGTGGAAGAGCATACGCAACATTACTGTCACGACATGCGTTGAAACAGTACAACATATTTTGATGAATTACACGACGGGTGATATCTTCATACTTCAGTGATTGTGTTTGCACCCAATCCACTGAGAATTGTCAACACGATTGAAGTTTGTTGGCGTTTAAATTTGTTACCCGACTGAAGCGTGCGTACTTGTCTGGAATTATTCTTTCTTTTTTTCTCCCTGCCGCGGAGCAATAGACAAATCTTGCGCCTGAGTCTTCAAACTAATCGGATAATCTTGATTTATTCATGAAGGCGCTTCGATCGCCGTATTTTTAGATTGTTTTGTCTAACATTCAAGCTCAATCATTGCTCACATTTTCTGGAGACTTTTGAATGTCTACCATGTATAACATTGTCGTTATTGCTGTTTTCTTCAAATTCCATTTTGTTTTTAGGGAGTTCGATGGTGAAGCTAATATTTGATGGAGTCCGCTGATAGTAGCGTCACACGTTATCCCATAACCAGGCGGCGCCATTTTTAACTTAATGCTTTGGTTATTTGAAAACATAAGTCCCTTTTGGGTTTTTTTTTACGTTGGAGCGTAATTTCGAGGAAATTTACAAAATCTGTTAATAACTGTTTTCAGCACGATTCTGAATTGAATGCTGAGTTCCGCTTGAATGCAGTCATGCGAAATTCCTTACGTGGATTTTCCCTAGAGCGCAATTACTTCATTTAATCACGTCATTTTGCAGTGAGGAAACCTCACCGGTTTGTGATATAATTACATGTTTTAGCCCAAAGAAACGTTACAAGACGTATGCTTTAGAAAATTGATCTGGTAAGGGGTAAATGTAGTTTTTAACCAAGAAGGTCAGGCATTACCAGGGGCGGCGGAACCGGGGGGCTGGGGCACTCCCCCCTCCCCAGATTTACCCAAGTGCCCCTTTTGCGGACATAAATGTGTCCTCTCGAGCATTAATGTGCCCCCTCGAGATAAAAACAAAACTGGCCCTAAAATTTCGGACACTTTGTTTTCAGTAACCACTTCCCATAAAGGCACAGAGATTTCTGATATGAACGAGGAATATGAAAACCAAGCCCCAAAACCCTTACAATGCGCCCTGAAAATGGGCACATAATGCGTAATTTGCATAATGGCCTGTTTTGAAGAGCGCTCCCTATTTTGGAAGTAGGTACCCCCCCCCCCCCCCCCCCCCTGCCACTCCCCCACCATTTGATTTTACGGAGGCCAAGTGTCCGGTGAAAAAAAGTGTCAACATTTCATCGACGGAAGGCAAGTGTCCCTTTTTGGTGATGCCCCCCCCCCCAAGTTTGAAAACCTTCCGCCGCCGCATTACCAAAGGGCATTACTAAAAGGTATATGATCAACAATAAATCAATAGTTGGTGAAATCCTGAAAAAGCTTAATTGTCATATACCTCCAAAATGCATCCTCGTGGGAGTATAATTGGAGGCGTCCAATGGAAGCAACAAAATGCATTGCTAGATTTAACGTGAAAGGGTATCGACGGAAGGTTTTTCACATAATAAAAAATGAAGGGTCGTGAATTATCGATGAATGTTGCAACAAGCACCTGCTTGGTCAGAACGTCGTCAACGTGGTTTGGTCAACGACTCGTTCGTGACATCATGTCTGTAATGCGAACAAGATCTTGATGAAAATACTTGTCTAAACATCATATAACTATGCGCATGAATGGACCGTGATTGCGCAGCAAGGTTCCTCAATGAAAATGAATTAGAGAAATATCCAATGTATACAAATGACAAAGTACTTCCCGTTAGTGAAACAATGACGGGACAAAGGGCAATGCATTTTTTTTAAAATAACTAGTTTCAGGGTACATTTGATTGAAAAAAAATTACTTCATTAAAAAAATATAAATCTTGAAGAAATCTTGTAGTTACTGGAGACCAAAATTTATAGCGGTGCTGTTTAATCAGCAACATGCAGACAAAAGAAAAACGAAATGAACTTCGACATAATCGAATATAATTAGGAGTGATGTTTCATTCCACCCTGGACGAAAATCACAAAATTGATTGCTTAGATAATGGAGCGAGCGGTTCTATCAAACTACAGGATATCATCTTGCCGTCTTACGGCGCCGGAGTCGATTGGCCCTAGTATACGCGTTCGCGGCATCGTGCGAATGTTTCTCAGATATGAATTAACCATTCGCATCTAATGCGGAGTTGGGATGCTCCCCCGGAAAGTCATTCACAAAGACCTTTGCTTTTGTAAAGAAATTTTGTTCAACATGTTTCTTTCTGCCCAAGGGAAAAAAATAAGTAAATATTTTCCGGACATTTTGCTGGTAGCTGGTCCTTCTACCAAGCAACTAGCTTCTTTTGCCAACGAAAAAAAGTGACAATTATCGTGTTGAACATATTTCATGGTTATATATAGAAAAGTCTCTAAATATTAATTTAACAACACTTTCAAGCTTTTAAAAGACGCGATATCCAAGAATGAAAGAATTTGTATTTAATTTGACCGTCCATTTAAAATGGACGCCTTAAAAATGGATGCCTGTCGAGTTGTGGCTGGTAGTTGCCCAAGCTGTACCCCCCCCCCCCCGCCACTGTCCAGATTGTCTGAGGTTAACCAGTAAAGAAACCCTTGATCAACTTCGGGATACTTGAAAAAATAATTAACATCGTTTGCTATCTATTTTAACAAGTAGTGTGACGTTAAAGCCATTATGGTGTTAATTATATAGTAACGCAGTTTTGTTCCTTTCTTCTTTTAAATTAAAAATCTTGCAAGTGAAAGATACAGTTATAGTATCCTTAAGCTAATCCGTAAGATGTTTTTCTCCCTTGCCGTGAGCTACTAGGACACATTATGCCGCTCGAAATGATCAACAATGCGATCAATCACAATGTGAATCGCTAGGCTGTGATGGAGTGCACCAGAGATGTGTCACGCGGTGAGGTGTTTTCGTTTGTTCTTAATATATAGCACGATTCTTTCACGCATCACGACGCCATTCATGCGCACAGCACGACTCGCCGGACCTTTTCGCTCCCGGTCGTCAAATCTACCCACGAGTCCGTATCTCGACCGATCGGCAGTCGAGATGTTCTCATGTGTATTGATAAGCACGGCCGGGTAAAGATGACGGGGAGGCCCTGGGCCCAAGGAATGTTGGAAGCCCCACGCAAAACATGAAGACCCTTTCCCCGACTTTCTCTTTACGTTGCCTTACTTCTATCTCAGAGGTCCCCTTATGCCGCATTGTCACTATACACAGCGTGTTGATTAGTGTTGCGGGTGGACGTCCTCTCCTGCGCGTATGCGGCGACCATGTCTTGGTTCCCAGATCACCAGCTGGCTAACTTTTAGCTCCTTGTGTCTAACGCAGTGGCCGGCGAGACTCATTCGTCTGTTGGCAATGTTGTCAGTAATTTCTGAGAGCCCGCTGTAGAGCACAATGTTGGTAATGTGCTCTTTCCAGCTCACGTTCAGTGCCGCCCTAAGCATTCTCGTGTAGCATCCATCAAGAGACTTTTCTAGGGATGATGTAAGACTCCAGCTCTCGCCGCCATACAGCAGTACCTTCTCAACTGTAGATACAAAGAAGCGAATTTTGATGATTGGGGAGAGATTAGATATGCCCAGATCCATCTCATGTTATTCAGTGTCTTCCATACTTGAGCTTTCCTTATTTTGATATCCTGTTCTGCGTTGTTTACCCATGCACCTAGGTAGCGGAAGTCAGTGACTTCTTCGAAGGGTTCCCCATTGCAGGACTTGAACTCTAGCCTTACTACCTATAAGCTCAACTCTAGAAAGGAGATATTGCGCCTGCTCTCTATCATCGGAAAGCAGGCAGATGTCGTCAGCAAAATCTAGATCGATGAGGTGACTGCTGGAACTCTTGCAGTGCATCTGGGTGTGATGGTAAACCCATTAAGCTCTGCCTCTCAACCGCTTGTTGCCTTCCGAAGAGCATAGGCAAGCACGATTACAAACAGGAATGGCGACAGAGTGGGTCCCCCCCCCCTCTTGCATGACCCTAAATGAGATGTTGAATACAATAGTTTCACCATCAGGCGTGATCACATTAGCTGTGGTATTTAATAGTATACATGGAGTCATTGCAATGCCCTTATACAAGTCTGGGAGGTATATATCTTACTCCATATTACTCAATGTGCAAGGAACAGGTATATAGCTAAACTGACATCTGACTATTTCTTATTGTAAAAACGTTTTATATGACACGATTCCTCATCGTTTGAAAACGATACGGAGGTATTTTACTTTTATTTCTATTTATTCATTTCTTATTCTACACTGAACGGGTGCCGAATTTAATTAGTCATTTTTAGTTGGACTCGTGTCGGACTCGGGCCGAGTCCTCGAGTCATTACGCCCGAGTCCGAGTCCAAATCTGAGTCTCCACAATTCGAGTCCGAGTCTGAGTCCGTCAAAAAGTGGACTGCAATCTGGACTCGAGTCCGGACTACACTGAATTCTGTAAGAGATTCAATTTACATTCCTTAAATACTAAAAGTAGCATCATTGCTTAGCTTTGGTGTTGAGACAGTCCGCGAGGCCAAGGTTAGCATATGTGTAAAGGGTTCAAGGCAGGTACTGGTCACTCGGAGGCTAGAGCTTAGGGTGTCACAGTGTTTCCTCCCTTTCATGGTGCTGGGCCCTTGGGTTATATGGATGGACTGGGAAGGAGGTGTGGCCGGCCGGGAAACCTGAGATCCCAGAAGAGTCCGATATTAGAAGCAATTGGTTCATTAAGTCCGAGTCCTGAATGCTTGGTCAACTCCCGTAACTTCTCGTTTTTCTTGATCCCTATTTTTCTTCGGCAACAGTTAGAAGGTACAATAAAACGAAAAATGTCTTCTTCATAAATCAATTTCAATAATTTAATAATGTGACCAATGAATTAAAATAGATTTAAATTCAGCGTATTAATTGACATTTAACTATATAGCCACAAATAATTAATGGTGCAATTTAAAAATCTGATTTAAGCAAAACCGTTTATCCAAAGGGGTAATTTGTACTGCGGAGAGTATCAACAATTGACAGATATGATGTATGTGGCAGATATTTATTTTAATTGTGAATGAGTCAAAATAACCTGATGACTTCATTTACGTACATGTAATTACATTCCTTTTAATAAATGATTAATCTAATGAAAGCAACGTCCCCACGCGACACAGATATGTCTGTCAATGTTCTCCGAATCCAACTCCGCATGTTTATGAATTTCTGGCTGGTCGAAAAGGGGGTTATACTTTTATAATTGTGTTAACGCATAGACTTCAAATTATCCCAAACATTCGACAGTCTGGCGTGTGTATTTAAGCGCGGACTTTCTTCTTATTATTGCTTTCTTATTTTCACAGCTTAAAAACTCATCCCATTCATTCGACTGACACGAGGGACAGGTCGACTTAGAGTGATATTCATTCAATCAAATAGATCGAGTTTTCAATCAAGTGAATAGAACTCGTTCGAAATTATTAAATTGCAAAATCGTGTGAAGCATGATTACATTCAAATCACAATATTTTGCAAAGTACAGCTTGAACTAAAAAGCACCGCGACCTCTGCGCAATAAAAATGCCAGCAACAAAAATGCCACAATCTGATGGAACGCAAACAAGCCCCATTTGCAACCCCCCCCCCCCCCAAAAAAAAAAAGATTCTTAAGATTTACGTTTTTGCCGAACGCTTATTTGCCCCCACGCCTCAGGGAAAGTTTACAAGTTCAAACATTGGAAGTCTCCTATTTGCGTTTTCAATTTGATTCACCCGTGGCATCGTTCAGGAGATTGGGCTAGCCCCGGCCTTAACAACACGAACGCCTATAACTGTAACGAAGACGGTAAATATCCCCTCCATTTTAAGAACCTGCATCTAATATCAACGGCAAACAAAAGTAATACGCACAAGTGGCTAAGTGTCAGGCTTAATTCAGGGATGGAGTGGTAAGCAACCAGGGATGGACAGTTTCATATTAGGGTCTGAAGAAATGGTGTTTGTACCTTTTTATATGACCTCTGCCGTTAATCCAAACTTAACACGAGGGAGCACGTACACGATCCACTATCCGCTGTCTTACACTGTTAGTCGACGTCATCGGCAGACCCGCACTTGTCCATCCAAATGTTCGCGATGCAATTCTACGCCTGTATATGTTAGGCCCAAAAAAAAAAGTCTCCGGTTTCTGGTATGCGCGCGCGTCGCCATAGCCATGCGCGTCGGCAAAATGAAAAAGGTTTTTTTTCTCAATGAAAGATGATGTCTCAAAACCGCCAAACTCACTGGTTTGACTGGAATCCTGCTGCTGCACAATTTTAACGTGTTTTAATATGGGGTTATGATCGAGAATAAGCTTTATGTGGCCTCTCTGGACTCCCATATATTTGCACTAAGTTTAGTCGGGCACATGATTTGCAGTCATCAGCCGACATTTGAAGCAAAAAAAAAAAAACAAGAAAAAAAAAAAAGCCGCGTCGCCGCACCACTTTTTGGGAAAGCTCCATACCAGAAACCGGAAACTTTTTTTTTGGCCTTAAGGTGGGTCCGGTGTCGAGATCGACAAAAGTAGAGCCATAATTCATGGAATTTTTTTTGGTAGATTATGTGCTGTTTTACATTTCGCCTTTTTTGTTCCGCACCGCAGTATGTTGTGGTAGTTCCCCTTTCCCCGATTTAAAGAATGTAGCCTATCATGATTTTCTATCTTTTTAATTTGGCATTATTGTGAGGGTTCAAATATAGTTTGATATGTTGTGTTTTTTACTTCAAATATTTCAGACTTGTCAGGGTTGTCATCTGGCAATCGAATTCCCACAAGTGAAAAAGATCAGCATGCTAGAATATTAATGAAAATATAAAGTCACTTCGTCTGAACGGAATTCTTAAAATAAAATAAACGTGAGAGCAAAAATATAAACGTGCGTGACACAACCATTCTGTCGAAACTAATATATATATATACAAGCTGATTTACCCGATCATAGATCGGGTAGGGCGTAGTGTTGGGGATGAAAATGTGGGGAGTTAAATGTAAATGGGGGATATAGTTGGGGAGACATGCAGTTATAGAAACGCAATTTCTGTGGTGTGATCTGAGGCAATTTCTGACGACTAAAGCCAATTTGAGCAAAAGATCATCTTTGAAAAGTTTTGAGTTTGGAGTAATTGAATCAGCTACATGTATTCTGAGCAATAGAATCATTATTGTAGGTTACAATATTTGTATTCGGGGAAGAAAAAGTGTGGGGGGGGGGGGCCCAAACAATCAAAATGTGTGTGTGTGTGTGGGGGGGGGGTGTTCCCCCTGTCCCCCGTCGATTTACGCACATGATAATTATGTACCATGGCAACTGTCTGTTAATGTTGCCGTTGGTCTGTTTAATTGGCTTTTTGTGAGGCAGTCGCATTAGGAAAACGAATTGAAAAGGTTACTGTAGTACACAGGCGAAGGCTGGTTGTACAGTTTTGACAATAAATCATAATGCATTTGAAATGAAAATGTTCAGTGTTACCATAAAATTACAAACGGTGTGAATCATGGAGGAAGGTCATAATTAAGTTTCAGTATTGGACTCTTCAACAAACGTAAACTTGAACTTCTTACAATTTGCGAGACTGTCTGCGAGGAAAAAGTCGATTCAACTTTTATTCAAGTTGGTGCAACCATCTATATAAGAGCAAGTTTTACTCGGCCTCCGAGAAATGTTTGCTCCTGAAAGGATCCGAGACCGCGGCTTCACGTCCGTGGAAAAATGTGGGTGTCTAGCTTCCGCCGGGTCGGACACTTTGTCGTCGATTTTTTTGCGACTATTTGAAGCAATGCATCGATCCTTTGTTGACCCCAAACAGGCCCCCGAAATTATAACACGACACTGAATTATACGTGGCGGGCAGCGAACTCACAACGCTCAGCCTTGGTGGTGGAAGCATGGAGCTGTAAACACATAATGGAAGCAACAGCACTCTATCACGCGCCGCCACATGCTTACGCTTCAAATAGCGAGCACCCGTAGACCCAACCTCGTTTGCAGGGTATGGAGCAGGCTGCAGTACGCGTTGCCATCGACAGTTTTTCATAGCCCGGAAATACTATGCAGTGTAGACTTTCGATTGGTCAGACCATGGTCAGACGGCGCAAGACATACTAATGTGTAGTCCTTCTGAGTATTCGTTGCAATCGGCGCAGGGGCGGCAAGCAAAGCACAGGAAAGAAAAGGGACACTTGGTGGCCACGCACCCATGGAGAAAAATATTTTACCAAGGTCACCCCATACTAACGTTTGGTGAACACTTTTGCCGAACGGCCGAGTAGAACACGTAAACGAAACCCCTACGTTGACCTCGCTGACCTCGCACAGTCTAGAAACGTAGAAAAAGCCAGCACAGGGGGCGGACAGGCAGTCAACGTGAAAGCGCACACGACGGCAAATTCCTACGCAAAACGCAGTCACGAAAAATCGACGAAACGGATCGCCGGTCCGTACGGGAAAATTAGGACGACCCGAAGCGTCCGACCCGGCGGAAGACACCCTCCGCATTTTTCCACGGACGTGGAGCGATTTTGGCGCCGCGGGAGCCCGCGGTCTCGGATCCTTTCAGGAGCAAACATCGTCTCGGGGGCGAGTAAACTTCTCTCTTATATATATAGATATATAAAATAATAAAGATTCCATGATGTAGATGCTGTAAAGTTCGCTTTACCTATTTGACATATTTCATTCCTAGCTGAAAGATTATCCAAACTCTATTGAAAGGAAGTATCGCCTGTGATATTGAAAGGAATCAAAGATGTCAACACTTTAAGAATGAAGACATGATGATACCATATCGTACACGGGAGCGAGAACACTGACAATAATATTTCCTTATGTAATTGA